GACCATGAAAAAAAAACCTTCCTTGATTGCTTAGTAAAAAATATGTGCTCTTCAAATGATTTTGCCAGTTAAATTAAATTAGGGTATTAAATATTTTCTGATAAAATGGCGAAGTTGTGAAGCCATTGCGTTTTAATATTCATCAGATCATCACATTTTCTTAAGGAGCAGTACTAATAATTTACGTAAGGCTATTTTGGGGTGTAATTATACATACCTTAGGTGAGATTTTTACAGATTTTTTTAATATATCCCGAACAATTTTTCGGGAAGTCGATATCTAAGGTTAACGAGAAAAAATTAAATAAAGACAAATTCTCCGAACAGCCAATTCCCAGTATGAGTAATTTCCATAAAAATTTATAATTGATTGAACTTTTCAAATAGTAAAATATCATAAAATAGTAATTAATAAATATATAAATAGATAACCCACTCCACCTTATACCGTACTTATTCAATGAAAATATTATTTTATTTTTCATATAAGTAGATATGCGATAATTATGTAAATAAAAAAACAAAAATTATTGCGTAGAGTTGGAGGAGGTGGGGCGTAAATACTGTAAGATCTTACGGATCCTTACATGGGGGAGTAGGAGGATCAAAAACGTCCGAATTTACTTCACGTAATTTGGGCATAGCCCCTAATACTGTCCTAATATGATACCATCCATACCGACGTACCACTCATCTGGCACGTCGATCATATATCCACAAGATTGATGCGATATTAAGCCGAATCGTGCCATTGCGTACTTATCTTACCTTTTCAGATTGTTGAACGAAATTCGAACTACTAAATTATTTCAAATAATAATCTAATTTTATTTCTTTTATTTTAGTACATTTACGATAAAAAATTGGGCAAATTACTAGAAAATTGCTAGTCGTAAGCAAATTTGTGAGCTGGTTACGGAAAACGTTTCTCGCACGATGCCTGCCAGAAAACAATTCAAACGTTTAAACAACCAAAAATATACTTTATTGTCTATGTTGTATAGCTCCGTAAAAGGAATGACGCCAATTTTGAATCAGCCAAATAACTTTTCGAATATTTACGGTTACACCTCAGTTAGTTTAATTTAACTAAAATATTTATCAAGGTGAGTAGATAAAATACTACTGCTGATAATTTGAGAAATATTTTGAAATTTACGATAAATGTAATTATCAGATACCTTGGATACATTAGACTTTCAGTCGAGAGC